GAATAACGTCTTGTCCTGCAGCGGCAGTGTTGCTGTTAGGAATACCTTCTGCACTCCGCTCTACTTCAACATAGCCCTTAACCCTAAAAAGCACTTGCGGAACTGCCTGCTTATATCCTTTACCGTGTTTAGTAATAGGTAGCATTCGTCTATTACGATCCGATCGAGCCAGAAGTGGGCGCGGGCCTGGCCTAAGAACTGCTAGAACGTTTTTGTTGTCGTTGACTCCGGCGTAGCAAAAATAAGCGAGGTAGAAAGGCTAGGCTCCTTACGTGTACGGAACACCTCGGCCAAAATATGGAACTTTTCGCACCGCCGGATCATGTTTTGCTGGAGGGAAAGAAGCGGTATAAGTACAATCGTCATGCCGTCCGGCCTAGCATACGCCAGCAGTAAGAACAATAAGCTTTTCCCGCTTCCTGTGCCAACGATTTGAACTACGGGGTTGTATTTTAGCTGGATAGTACAAAGCACGGGCTGCTGCCCGGGGCGGAACTCGGCCGTAGCGTTGTCTAATATCTGGCGGAGACGCTGTACCATATTTGTCTCTAAGAGCTGCTTAGGTCGCCTTACCTGCTCTAGCTCTGTTTTGCCCACAAACGGGAGCACTTGCTTGTTGTGAATAAAAGAGCCCAACAACTCCTTTAGCGAAAATATCCGGTACTACTGCAAGCTAACCCCCCGGAATTGGGTCTTTTGTTGTGCCGTGCTAAACAAGCCCTGTTGGGTCTCCCGCGCGTATACTATTTTAGCAACGCGGCTCCCATGGCCCGCCTAAAGATCGAGGACATTATTACCCTCTGCCGTAGTGTTGCTGACAATATACTTACGGCTGATCGCGATTGCAATATGCTGCTACTTGGCTACCTTAATTCGCGTCCTAAGAAGCTGCCCGGTATGGGCCTTAAGTATGCGCCGCATCTAGTCCCCTGACCATACCCTCCGTAACAAAGACCGGACGTTCAGCCCGGCGTCGCTTTCTTTGTCCCCTTCCCTGTTGCTGTTGCCCTCAGCATTAGAGAGTCCCGTTGCTGTCGCTAGCTCGTCTTCCGTTTCGCTATTACCCCCGTTCTTATTTACCAGGAGCCGGCTACAACATTTGTAGCCTATAGGTAAGGGCTAAGTTGCCCGGCAGATTGTACGACAGCCTGTACCGTCTGCTAGAACGGGAGGACAAGCCACATGTACCATACTAGTAGCTCGCCTACTTCCGCCGGTAAGAAATAGTACACCATTTTTATGCTCTGTTGTAAGGCATACCCCTTGTGGTACCGGGTAACTAGCATAACGAGTCCCTAGCGGATGAATATATTTCGGGTGCTACCGGCGATCGTGTTCCATATGCGTACCCCGAAGAATTCGGGCGTACGTTTAGGCTAGCTACCAAGCATGTGGATAAGCACAAGTAACCGCTGATAGAAGTTGTCGAGGGCTTTCGCGTACGCCCTTACTACATCCGGACGATAAATGTCTTTTGTGGCAGGCCGCATAGTAGCCTTGTTTCGCAACCACTGCCGGGACAGTTGATCGTCCGCGGTAACACGGTGGTACAGCCACTGCGAGCCTAGCTGGTTGCCTATGGTCCAGTTGTTGCGCAAATCGGACAAGAACAAGTACCCGACCTGCTGATTACTTACATTATCTTTTAGCCTTAGCCAGTTAATAGGGGGGAACGGGTCCTTTTCTGTATCCGGCAGGTAGAGAAGACTTAACCGCAGCATATCTTTTGTTTCCGCGAATCGAATGTCCCTGTACGAAAGCTCGTCTTTTGCCCAGACGATACCACTGTTTAGCAGCGACTCCTTGGCCACCCTCCGCCCGTACGAAAGCTGCGGATCCAGTTAAGGGGCGTAGGCGCTGTATCCTTCGACGATACCGTTATAAATCGCTGAACCATGGGCTATATGTAACTATAAAGGCCGGGGGACGCTTCCCTTGCCTGCCTCTTGGTCAGGCCCTCCGCCTGCTTTGCTGCAACAGCAGCTGCTAGCTGATTTAGCGCGTATGCTAGCACAAGATAATACGCTATTCGAATAATAGCCGAGTAGATTGTGGTATAGTGGTAAAGCTGAGCCTACCTGTTGTTGTCAATAATACCTATTGCAGCTAGGGCGCTAATCAGAACGCTCTCGTATGCTGCTTTATGGAATGGGTGGTTGAATAGGGCGATCGAGAGCTAGAGGACGGCCGCGTTTAGCTTATCTTCCGTTGATTAGGTACTATTGCCTTGTACGATTTTGTGTACGTAGCCTTGTACTGTGTGCAGCCAGCTTTCCTGCTTTTCCGTGAGCTGGAACGCCGGCCGATCTTTTGTATCCTACATGTTTGTAGTCCATAGGTATATGAAAACCCTCCCAAAGTACCTTACGTGCCGCTAGAGCGTTTTGGGCAGCACGGCGGGCTCCCACGGCCTGATTGACTTCTCCTTCGCCATATTATCATAGGCTAAGTCGTATAGCACATCAGAGCCAGGCTCGAGAGTATAGGCTATTTAGGACCTGCGCGTGACAACCCGCGCTACGCTATCCTATACTACCTGTAGCTTTATTTGCTAGCCGTCTTGTTCCTCCTCTTTGCTAAAGGGCCGCGCTGGTAGGGCTGCGGCTGCCTCGCGTAGCTTGCTCTTCTTTGCACCCGTGCGTAATGTCTGGAAATGCTTCGCCCACCCTATACGTTGGATCTAGGGGTTGGTTTTTAATATATCCTGCTCTACGCAGATTAGCATACAAAGTATATGAATGGTTAGATCAGCTTATCTATATAAAAGAAGCACAGCCTTAGTGGTGTAGTGGTAACACATCAAGCATAAAATGCTAGGGGTTTTTAGTTTAAATCCAGGTCAAGGTTTCTGGATTGCCATTAGTTCGCGCCGCGAACTAATGGCAATCGGGGTTTTTTTTTTTTAAATATTTTAATATAATAATAATCAGTTGTTTATTATTTAATTGATAATAATATTTAATTATATATGATAGACGAAGTTTAGGTATTTAAAGTAAAATAAAGCATGATGATATATTAAAAAAGGCAGACATAGAATTAAATAATATCTGTGTGTGCAGGGCCTGTGTGGCAGGTGGTGCTAGGTGCCACCCCCGGAGGGGGTGGGTGGGCTCCTGTCTCCACCTGCACCCAGGCACTGGACCCCCTGAGGGTCCCTATCAAAATGCCGGGCGCAGAAAAGAACTCTGCTGACCTTAGTAGACTAATTAATTAATCTTAATTGCCTTGTTTCTTATCAGGACTCTATTCCTCTTTCCTTTTATTGACGACATTCTCGTTTTCTTTACCGACTACGTTTTCTACTATCCCTTGCCCTTCCGTGGCGTTTATGGGCTATAAACGAGAGCTACGTCTCCCTGTTACATCGGGAGACTTAGCAGGACCTGATGGAGTGACGATTTTGCGTGGCTTTCTTCTGCGCTTCGGTGCGGGCTCATTAACGCCAAATGATGTAGCAGAAGCCTTTTCCTTGGTTCGAGAACTGCTAGCCGATTGCTTGATGTTGGGTCGAGGGCCATGTCGATTCTAGTATTTGTTGATAAGCTCTTAGGAATGACGTAGGTGATGCTTAGAGTGCCATCGGTTGTGTTCGTGACCTTAACTTTTCCATTTGATGAGGTAATCGAATCCATTTTTTTTGTGATTTAGACGGTGCCTTAGGATAATTTTAACTTCGTAGACTTTACCGTTGGCGTTGTCGTTATTATTGGAGTGCTGGTCAGCTTCGATTGGGCCAGGTGGAGGAACAGTTCGCTTGAACAGGTCCTTATCGCTTTTCATAGGTCGGAGCTGCGTAACAGAGATGACTGGATGGATACGATAGTGTTCAGGAAAGTCCAATTCGTAGGCCAAATCGCCAACCTTGCGTTTGACTGTCTAGGGCCTGGCACGTTGCTGAGAGTACTTCTTTAAGGGTTTGCCTGGCAAGTGGTACCCATTGTGGAGTCGCAGCAGTACTTTATCGCCGGGGGAGAATTCTAGGGAACGGTGCTTCTTGTTAAACTGTCTTTTGGCCTTTGCGGCGGCGAAGTCCATTGCCAGCCTGGCGTCTTAGCGCAAGTGATCGCGAAGGGTCTGTACTCATGGTTCTTGTTGTAGAGCGAGTGACCCAAGTTTGATTTCTGAGTTCAGCCCTCTGTTTCCGCAATTTTTTGGATTCAGAATTGGAGAGCAGATCTAGTGTGTTATTTAGCAGATGGCCAGGTGCATGTGGTATATTATCTGCGGATATGTACGAATTAGAAACGAGGTGAACCACGTAGGAGTAAGATAATTAAGGAATCCGCAACATTTGCGACTTTTTAACAGTAATTTTAGCAAGCTGTAAAAACTGGCCTGTCTAGGATATGGAGGTGCTTTGCCAAGCTTATTTTAACTAACGTCTGCAAGATACCGGACTTAACATAGTAGGTTATAATACAACAGGTCTACTATAAGGCTTCGCGAGGAGTGCGTGGGTAAGGTAAGGTAGACTTGGCTGTTGTTAGCCTTACGAAGTACTAGACTTAATACGGTAAATCGCACTAAACGCCAGCTAATACAAGGATAATAATAATATAAGTGGGTGCGTATGCAAGATAGATCGGCCTTAAGGTGACGATACTTGCCTTAATTGGTTTAGTGTTTAGTGTATGGTGTGTATGTGGCGTTGGTACGTTTAACGTAGCGCGCGTCCGAACTGCCAGCACAACAAAAGTATCTTTCGACCTCGAAAGATTAAAAAAATGATGGTTTAGTTTAGTATGGTGTTTGTAATAGAACAAGCGTGGTGAAGCACTACTTTGATAGACGAAGTTTAAGTATCTGAAGTAAAATGAAGCATGATGATTTATTAAAAAAGGCAGACACAGAATTATCTGCGAAGCAAATAATACTATGTGTGCAGGGCCTGTGTGGCCGGCTTTGCCAAGGTTGCGTTTATTTGTACTATGCAGGCCAGCACCTATCAATATTAAGATTAGACCAAGAAAATGCATCCTGGGAGAAGCACATATTGCGCCTTAGTGGTGTAGTAGTAACATCTGTAGCTGCTAGCTATAGACCCTAGGTTTGAATCCTAGCTAAAGCGTTCAAGCATCTGCGTATAAACGCGCGGATGCTTGATATTTTTTTCTGATCCGTTAAATATATTCGCCTTATCAGCTCGCTAGAGCTGTACTATTATACTATGCTGGACTACGATTTTAAGCTTAAAGGCAAGATCAAAAAGTTGACGAGCAACCCGTTTCCGCCTTGGGTTAAGAAGACTTACTGCAATATTAAGATTTTAACCCGTTTTAGGTCTGATATAGATTATGTCGTGTTTAGAAAAAGCACTTCCGCCGTTTTTATCGCTTATAAATATAGAAGCAAAAAAAAGCTACCTGCTTAAGTCATGCTTTAAAATTTAGATTAACCGAAGGGCAGCGGAAGAGCAGGATAGAGTGTACCACACAGGCTAAACCACACTCTTACTAGGTTGTCTGCGCATACGTAATCAAGTAAATGCTTCGCAAGGGTGGAAGGATAGTTGGGTGAATTTGTTATGTTTAAATTTGCTTAATTAGTTGGAAGCCTTCGTTAAGTTATTAACGAACAAAAGCCTTGTATTATAATAATACCCCTGAGACCGAATCCATAAAGTATGTAATCCATTGCTGCTTATTAAAAAGTATAAGGTAGAAGTGATTCTTTTAAAGGTTTTTCTTTATGTTAGTCTTAAAGTACGACTTATATAATATAAAACTGTTCATTTTTTATAGGACTATATTATAAAAGGCTTTAATATTAGTACTATTAGCCCATGTTTTGTTCGTAATTTTAATCTAAGCATCGAGAACATAAGCGCTAATTTGTTTTTAGACCTAATAGTTTTTAAAACGTGTAAGTATTAGTTAATCATCAATATATTAAAATGCTAAACGCCTTCCTCTGTCGAAAGTAAGGGTTTTTACTAATATAACAATTTTTGCATTTGTTAAGCAAATCTAGGTTAATGGCTTATTAAAATAAGAAGGGTTAAAGGTGCTATAAATGTTGTTGATCAATGTTTTTAGATATGTATATTGTCCCTTTTTAATATTAGGAGTGTGGGGTGTAGTCTGGCTTATCGATTATCTTAACGGCTTATGCTTGGTTAATGCTTAGCTCGAGGGTGATAGCGGTATGCTTGACTAATGCTTAACTTAAGGGGACAGGAGCAACGGTGCTTGCCACGGACACTCCAACATATTTTGCAAATACGTCTATAGCTTTGCTAAATAAGTCCTAAAAGATCTGGCAAAGCTTTCCTTTAGTTATGTTTAGCATATTTAAAAAGATATTAAGGGTTCTAAAGATAGCTATTATATTAACTCTTTATATATACCTGTATTGCTAAACGTTACCCTACATGTAACATAGTAGTATAATTGCTTTTTAAAAGATAGGCAGGCTGATCTGGATAAACTCGAAGCAAAAAGGGGAGGTTGATTATAAAATAATAAGACTTATTGCCTCTTAAACTTAATAAAGGCTTAAGTATATATATTTAGCATATTTTAAGTATTAAGTAAGTTAACGAAATATAAAGTCTTCCTTTTAATGTTATAAATTATTATAAACTAATGGTTAGTTTCTGCCTCTGGGTTGTTAAAGCAAGCTTGCAGTCCACTTATTTCTTTAGTAATACGTTTTAAGAGTTATAAAGTAAGGGAATTGCTAGTAAACCATTTATTTTATTATGTTAGAAAGCCTAAGCAAAAGCACCTTTAAATATAATGCGTAAGCTAAGGTCAGCGGTTAAAGCTATAATAAGTACACTAACCTCGCCAGTAACAAGTTATTTTTTATAAAAGGATTTTAGGAGGGCATTGATTAGTCCAGGGCTAATTGTGTTAATAAATTCCCGTAAGTTTATATTAAGAGGTAAGCTATAGTTTTCAAAAAAGGGCCTAATTTTTTCTGCTCTAACTGGCCTTTTAATATTACTTAAAAACCCGACTGCAGTAAGTATTAGCGTAGATTTAAAGAGAGTAGGGATAGTCTTTAGGTTAGTGCTTTTACTATGGATATTGTAGACGAAGGTGGTAGCATTGTTTAAGTTGCCGAATTGGCTAGCAGGTCCTAAGGAGGTTGCCATAATGTGTACGTATACGTTCTAGGTAAATGATCAATTAATGCGGCCTTTTCGCACTTAAAGGTAGGTATTAATAATGTTAAACGTTGTCCGGATATATATGGTTAAAGGTGGTGAGGTACTTAAGGTAGTAAGTAAATTAGGTTAAGATAAGACTGCTTAGATAAGCTCTATAGGGGGATTTACTGATTAGCGGAATAAATAACCAAAAAGAAGAACTAATTATATGTTAAAAAAAAAAAAGTTAAAACAGGTTATATATACTGGCTTATAAATGTCCATAATGTAATCTGGTATTTTTTAGTACAAGCTGCCTAGCACAAACTCGACCTTGTCGGTTAACATACCGCAGGCTTAAAGCAGTGCTATTATAACGAACCAGTAATACTTAACGCAATATTCAATAAGTTCAACAAGTTCGATAAGTACCTTAAGGTTATTAAGAAAACCATAAATCTAAAGATCGCCACTATTGTTATTAATGTTATTGCGTCTTATATTGTTCAGTGAGCAGGATATGTAAAAGAGGTGGAAGAGCGCATATATTGGCGAAGAAGATGACTACAACGTAACTAGTAGCTAATAATTAAGCGATTTTAATTTGTTTTTATTATTAAGGAACTATACGCTAAGGACTAAATATTTAGCATAGAATCGACTAATCTGTTGTATGCTCGGGTTAGCTATTAGTTACTTATTTTTTATATAAGTGTAGCAAAGTTATAATATACGGTAGCAGTTCCTATAGTAGAGCAAAATTTATTCGTTAGCACAGGATCTATGTTGCTTACAAAGCTAACAGAAAACACTGCCCCTAGTAGATCCTCAGGTTCTGCTTAGGTTGCGCCTATTATTAACAATAGCCCCGATTATTTCGAGATTAAGGAATTTAGCTAAGTTTTTATTAATAAGGGCAAGCCTTTCGCAAGGATTTATTAAAGGCATAACGTATATTTAGGTATAAATGTTAATTTGTACTAAGTCTTAAGATCGTAGGATCGTGGTTGGGTGACTTGTTAAATTGCGACCAAACTAGCAGTTTCTTAAGGGAAGGGCCCAATAGGGTGCTACCCGAACTACTTGCTATCAGCTGCAAAGAATCCCTCCGCCGGGGGCAGTTAAACTTAGGTAGGTGCCGGTGGCCTAGGTTAACTTAAAATCATTTAAGTAAATAATTTTAAAAGGTGTACGAAGAGGTAAAAAGCTTGAATATTTTTTTCTACTTTTTAATATTTAATTAAACCTTACTTTATTAAAGAACGCTATTAAGTACTTAGGTAGCTAGATCTGTTTTGCAAGCAGAGCTTTATGCAGTAACTAATGTTTTTGCTTTTAATAAAGTATAACTACTTAAGCTAATTAACTTGCTTATCCTAATTTTGTTTTTTAATAGCATTTAGTCAGCCTTGCTATTAATATAGTCAGTATACTTTTATTGTAATACCGCTTTCTTTATAGTATTACACCTTGGCCTGCTTATTAACTTATTATTACTAAGTAGCTTTAACAATATTATAATATTTACTGAACCTCTTTTAACTCAGGCTTACGACGCAATGCCTCCCTTTCCTCCCTTGACTGAACCTTTTAATACAACGCCTCCGCCTCTGCCTTCTTATAATCGCGATGCTTTTCCCCTACAGTCTTTAACCCATTTTTAGCGTTGTAATAATTTTTAGTATGCGTAAATAGCGCAGAAAATAGCTGATCTTAATTTATATGCCCGGTAAGGACTTAATATTATAAAATTTATTATAAATTAAAAGAAAGAAGATGTTTGTTAAATTATTAACCAAACTATAAAGGTTAATGTACTACCTAAACCTTTATTAAATATAAGCAATAAATTAAAAACATCGTACTAATAACCGCTTAAGCGGAAATATGAACAGCTTAATACAGCTACTTCATATCTTTTTAAAAAACGATTCAAAATATATGCTAATTAATACATGAACAACATTAACAACAACATAGTAGATATGTATTCCTATCTCCTACCTGGTTAATCCTACGCCCGGCACCGTCAGCATGTACAGCCTGTCAAAGGCTACGTAAACGCTAATTAATACACTACCTGCAACAATATAGAAGAACCTTAGTCCTGCTTATTGCCGGATTAGTTTCAGGCCTAGCATAAGCAATATACGCAAGCAGAAGAAGGTAGTGCAAACGTTGGACAGCTTTTACTACTACAGAACACCTCTAATTGCGGTTTTATTAATAGTACTAACAAAGCATTACCTGCTTTATCTAAGCTTCCTAATCCTATTAGCAAAAGATGGACTCTTGTTATTCAAGACACTACTACGATCAATACATTTTATACCGACTGCTTTAAAAAATTGCAAGCTAAGGGCTATATTGTTATTGCCAAAGTATGGTTTAAATATGTATAGCTATCAACATCCATGTTGTCAACATCTACGTTATTAGCATCTACGTCGTCGAACCAGCAAGCAAAGCCCTTTTAATAGCCCAAGGATATTAAATTTAGCAAATTATTAAAGCTACAGCAGAAGGGCAAGTATTAATTATATATGAAAATATTCTGTTATACTTAATAACATATTTATCTTTAGCTCAAATTTAAGTACTTATTGCTATACTCCATTTAGTTAGCATTCTACATTCGCATCTATTTCCTGTTTACTAGGTTATGGAACTCTTAATTACTAAACTATACATAATTGCCAAGGATGCGATCTTAGATCGCAGATATGTAAATTTAATTAATATTCGATACTTAAATTAGATTATCTATGTAGCACGCTCCTACTATTAGTATAAGTGTGGAGATATAGGTAAGCATTATATTTATTTTATTATTAATATATTATAATGTTGCTAATAATGCTTAAAGAGTAATACAATGCTGACTATATTTCTTATAAACATCAGTGATGTAAGTGATATGGAGGAGTTAGTTGCCAATACCTAAGTGCAGCGCGAGGCTTTTGTGGAAAACCTGA